TCCAAGGAGCTGAAAATGAGGAAGGAAATGAGAAAAAAGAGGAAGAGGAAGAAGAGGAGGAGGAGGATGACGATGATGAAGATGAAGGAAACACACGTTTAGGAACACTTGCACTTCTTGAAGGACTCTACAAAGGAAAAGGAGGTTTTGGAAAAGGCGAAAAGGTTTACTTAACCTTGGAAAATATTACAAAGATTGTAGCGAATATTGAGAAGAATCGTTTAAGCAATATAAAAGAAACGGCGAGGAGAATTTTTCATAAATCTGCAGAGCTTTTGAGTAAAATTATTGAAAATGTGGAAAATGAGATTAATGGGCCTCTACCGCCGGGTTATATTATTCGAAATGAAGATGAGATGAATACATCGGAAGTTAAGGACATCAACGAAGAAACAAGCAAAACAAGAAAGGAAGATAAGGCTGAATCATCTAAGAGAAATGAGGAAATGGAGGAAGTGGATGATGAGAATACTCCATTGCTAGGTAAAGAACATGACAATGCCGTTTCTGAGGTGGAAGAGAAATTGGGAGAGAATGAAGCTCCTTTGGCTAGTCAAGGACATGGCGAGGAAGGGGAAATCTCTAAGAATGAAAATCATGAAACAACAGATGAAATTTTGAAAAGAATGAGAAAATTGAACAAAAAAGAGAAAGAAGATTTTAATAAACAGCTTAAAAAAGAAATTGAGGGATTAGCAACAAATTTGGAAAAAGAGTTGTTAGAGGATATTAAAAAGGAAGAGGATAAACAAAAGAAACTCGAAATTATTAATAAGCTTAAAAAAGAAATAGAAGAATGGAAGGAGGAAGCTAAAAAGCAGTTTGAACAAAAGATCCAAGTTAAGGAGAATGAGGAAGTGAAGAAAAAACTTGGGGAGACGAAGATTCATCCGTTCGACTTTCTCCAAACTGTATCGTTTGACGTAAGAATAAAGCCTTTGGATAAGCGTTTCAAAGGAATTAGTGGTTTGGAGTACGAAGAGATTGTCCAATTCTTTAAAACCCATGAAAGTTTTACTGAAAAGGACGTGGGATTGAATCAAAAAGCTATCGAATATCTATATAACGAATTTAAAAAGATAAGAAAGGATCTAAAGAAACATAAAAGAAAAAATGGAGCTTTACCAATGGAGCTTCTTTCCCATTTACCGCCTCCAAATAAAGCATTAACTTATCTTAACGATGAGTTTAAAAAAATTGAAAAAAATATATTTCGGCAAGGATGGGATTGGTTAAAATCTAAATTTGTTGAGCCCAAACCTGAAGAAGATTTTTATATGGATGTGTTCCGCACATATCACGAAAAGATCAAGGAAGCTGACCAGAAAGTCGAGAAATGCTACGAGCTGAAAGGACCTATAAAACGAGTTATTTCGAGAAAGGTTAACGAACACGATGTGGAAATGTATAAAGAATTCAGAGGTCGACTTGGAGCTCAGATACTCCTTTCTGTCTACAACGCCAAACAACTGACAAAAGACATTGCTTATGGAATGATAATGAGCTTGGCTGGTGCTGGCTTTATTGGAGCTCTTTTGGACGTTGTTATTTGGCCTGCTATGATTACAGCAATGGCACATGTATGCCCCTTCCTAGTGGTTCCGTTCACAGTTTTTCTCTACTCTCTAACTCCTTTGTTTGCTGAAACTTTTGATTCGTTTGTTATTAAACGCTTCTTAAATACACTCCAAGGAGGAAAATTCTTCCCCTCTACAATGAAAGAATTTCTGAACGATTTGAACAGTTCATGGATAGCAGGAAATATAGCTGCTGCAGGCTCTGTGATGAACAATTATATTGAATTGTACTCTACATTTAGCTTGCTGGGGTTAAATGTGTTTACTAATCAAGTAAGTTTTGTAACGATCAAAAGGGTTCCGGATCCTTTCAAGGGTTCTGATCAAAGCTTACCCGTTTGGGATGGGTATTTATTGGGATTATCAGGTCATACTTAGAGATAAGAGTGCTTTAGAGTGGATTATTAGATCATACTTAGAGATAAGAGTGGATTATTGTGTCAATACGAAAGTACCTGCATACAGAAGTACCTGAATATCCAGAGGTACCTTAGAAAGAACGATCGGGATTCCTTTTATTCATTCGGACCCGACTTTTGTACAAACCAGAGTTCTTTCGATAAGAAATGATCTCAAATTCTACACACCTCATTACGCTAATAGTCTCTTAACCAGCATCCTAGTCTCTTAACCAGCATCCTAATCTCTTTACCAGAATCCTAGTAATATGTGAAACTTATCTATCTTGAGCAGTTCATTAATAGTTTTGGAAAAGGAACCTTTCCCCATCCACTGGGTAACAAATTATTAAAGTTACCATAAAGTGAGATTGTTCTGATTAGTAGATTCATATAACTTGGGTCCGATTTCAAAAATTGTCAACGATATTAGGCTATTTGTTTAGGGGAAATAAACAGTCCAAAATTTAACATAAATATTCAGATTGCTTCGTCTACTTCCGGCGCTCTCGTCCCTCTTGAATTCGCTGAGTGGGAAGTAAACACACGTGCTGCACTCTTTCTAAAATATTCGACTGGATTCTTTCCAACACCTGATGTTGAGTATATGACTGTCAAAATTCGAAAAGACGAAAAGGATAAACACAAAGAAAACAATAAAAAATTCATCCGGAGAATTTTTAACAAAATCCTTGGCAAAAAGATAATGATTGGATTTGATTACCCTGCCATATCAGACGGAGAAAAAACCGAAAAATTAAGAAAGTTCATTGAATCAAAGGTTAGTTTCGTATTTGTATTTACAGAAAGAATCCCCAATGGTCCACAAAATTGCTTAAAAAACTACCGTAACTGTTACTAAGAAGCCCTTGTAGTTTATTTTCTCAACTGGTATCATTGAGTGGGCTTCCGCATACTATGATAATATTACCCTCAATATTCTTCAAATTCGCCTTAGCAACTATTCATTTCCCCTCTGAATCCTGCTTTATTCCTCCAAATGATCATAAATCTCTGCAAATCTCTGACATAACTTATTATCCCTACTAGAGATCGGCATGGGTCGGGCCCAATTCCTTGGTTTTTCCTGTACACATAGTCCGAGCCTAGGCATTTATTGACCTTCCTTGGTTTATTTTGTATTACAAACCCAGAATCCGACCCAAATAATAAATAAAACGCAGAACCCTGGCTTTTCAAAATACCAATTTCTAATCCCAACAATTATTGGTCAATCATGTACTTTTATTAGAATCATGATAAATTTTTATCGAGATTTCTTCATTCATAAAAATGAAACCCATAGAATATTTAAATATTAAATATTAAGTAAAATTCTTCAAATATTAGGTCAAAGCTTCAATGAAAATTGAAAAAACTGCCGCAATGTCAGTTAATTCCATGGGAATTGGTGCGTTGCTTAGCTTCCTCACATTTATTCCAATGTATTTTGCTTCTAAATATGATATGGTTCCTGAAAAGCTTCTAAAAATCACGACAATTTTGATAAATACACCAACTGAGATTCTTAGCTTTGGAGTTGGAATACTTACAGCTAACGGTATTGGTGTTGAATGGATGGAAAAGTATTTGAGCACTGACACTATGAAAAACAAACAAATGGTTAGATTGGTTGTTGAAAGAACAATTGAACAATACATGGATATCAAAGGCAGATTCAACAAAATAACGGAGGAAGAAGTCTATAACATTTTCCATCCAAAATTGGCTCTCACGTATGGTTTTGGAAGTAAAGTTGTAAAAACAATGCTTTGGACATCAGAAAAGCTTGTTAAAGCCTACTGTTCATTAACTGACCAGCCGTTCCCGAAAACTATATTTGATCAAATCAACATGAGTAAATTAGCTCTTCCGTTCTTGAATGGTAAATTTAATTTTGAATAATATATAATATATTAAATAACATTTTAGAAGAGGAACTTGAAGATAGAGGCTTTTATCAAGCAAAAATACATAAGAAGCAGAAAAAAATGGTAAAAATGCCAGGAATGAGCGAAGATAAATGGGAAAGCTTCTATAACGAATCTGGTATGAATATTGGTTATATTAGAGACCGGACCTAACAAGCCTTGAAAAACGCTTAAAAGGCATTCCGGTCTCTAGTTTATAATAGAAGTACTAATAGATTTCTTTCAGCTGCCGCATCTTATTTGCACAAGTTGACTTTTACTGAGATTCAACATTACTTGAACAGTCTTAAAATTTTGTTTTCTGAAGACAATGTTGTGAATGTAATGAATCATTCAAGTTTTCTAGAAATTTTACAGTCCGACATTTCTAATGGAAAAATAAACAAATCATTTGATGCTGCATATAACAAGGCAAGAGATATTTGGAATTAAAGGGGAATCTCTCTATAAACAGTGTTTGGAAGCTCGTACCAAAATACGTACTTGTACTCGAACCTGTTTATTAAGTACGAGTATGATAAATTCACAACACTGTTATAACTAAATCAATTTTGCCGAATTTTGTGGAGTTAATAAGGGGAAAATAAAATCAGTCCAAAAGCACCCATCGCAACCGTACTACTCTCTATAACCAGTGTTTGGAAGCTTGTACCAAAATTCGTACTCACACCTGTGTACTAAATACGAGTTTCAAAATTCCAAACACTGTCATAACTAAATCAATCGTGCCGAATTTTGTGGAGTTAATAAGGGGAAAATAAAATCAGTCCAAAAGCACCCATCGCAACCGTACTACTCTCTATAACCAGTGTTTGGAAGCTTGTACCAAAATTCGTACTCACACCTGTGTACTAAATACGAGTTTCAAAATTCCAAACACTGTCATAACTAAATCAATCGTGCCGAATTTTGTGGAGTTAATAAGGGGAAAATAAAATCAGTCCAAAAGCATCAATCGGAACCGAATGGGGCTAACCTAACACGGAATGTGACATGGAGTGTTGTCGTCATATAGTGATTTTATTATTAATTTTTAGTTTAAATCCAGCAAAAATATTTACGACTTCAACTCACTAGTTTTAAATACTAGTGGAATGAAGACAAACAATGAATTGCGAGAAGAAATTTCAAAGTGCTTATTTGCCTCAAAGATTTTTAAATTTATGGCTTTCAACATTGACCGAGGATCCAAGGAGCCTGAGAAACAAAAAGAATTTCTGGAAAAGCTTGTAATTATTATGCCAGATAGATATCAAAATAAATGTGAAAAGAAGAAAACAATGTCAGAAGATTATGATGATGGTAAAACTATGCCCGAAGAAACTGATGATGAGAAAACTATGCCTGAGGAGTCTGATGATGAGAGAATCAATTTCTTTTTAGATATTGTTAAGTATTTCCGATGTGAATGTATATTTGCAAAACAGATTGACAGCAAGTTGGAAAGTGTTAAGCGATTTTTTGTCAATTTAAAGGTGTGTTACTATAAACCGAAAACTTTCAAAAACAGAAATTTTCATTTTGTTAATGAGACTACTTATTTATAAGAATGTTCTTAAGTCTGGAAGGGAAATTCTTAAATTTAAATTTTTTGTGATAATAGATGGCTTTTAACTTGTAGATCTAATACACAAAAAACTAGAAAGTCACATCGCAATTTCAGCTTGAAAATACAGAAAAATAGGGGGTGCGTATCATTATTAACAGAGTGTACAAACACTTTTTATAGGAATTTTCATGTTTTATCATGGTTTCTGATACTAAATCAATTTAAGACCACCTTAATAAAAATTAGAGTTGGACGATATCGATATTCTAGGAAAAATTCGATATCGAGATTTGTCAATGTTACATAACCGAGATTGATACCGATATGTACCCCATATCGAGATTCCGACGTGAACTACCCACACTAGAAATACTACCCACACTAGACATCCATGATTATACCAAATATTCTCGAGTATCTTTGTTATGGGTTATTATTCATTCAATTCATTCGACCAAAATCGTCTACTGATAAAGTACGGTTGGTTGGTGTCCTTGAGATAATGTCGACTAACTTAGCACGCAGTATGGTAAAACATGAACCGCTCTTTATCTTTTCTATCTTTCTTATCCTTACAATATTTTTTTGTTTGGAAATCTATGATAAAAATCAAAGCTAATCCATTACTATAAAAAATTTATCATTTTCAAGTTTGTATTTAAAAATTTGGATGATGAGACAAAACAAACAGAGGGTGCTTACATAAAAGTTGAGGAATTTCTCTTCAATAAACTTCGAGATGAACTTAACAACCCTTTGCGAAAAGACAATCCTTTCGAAACAAGCAGAAAGGAACAGGCATATGAAGTGCTTGGATTAAGATTAAATTTGGATAAATATTTGAATCGACTTGGAAAAAAATTAGAAAAGTTTGAGAATCGTATGAACAATTTAATTAAAAAGTTGAACAAAGTAAATCCTATTACAGAGAAGCTTTTGGATATTAGTAAAGGTATGATGTTAAGGATGCTGTTTTATAGAAAGCCTTATAGTAATATTTCCTAGCTCATAAAAATTTTAAGAACAGACTGATTATCTGATTATTTATAATATTTAAGGATATTTAAGAAGTACTGGGTTTCACCTCTTCCACAAAGACGCTTAATTTCAGAGTTCATGAATATTCCATGTCCCTCACTCTAGTTATGAATTTTCTCCTAGCCTAATTTTTAAGAGTAAAATGAAAATAATACATCGAGGTTAGTGCGATTGAGAGGTAATCAACTCGCATCGTAGAGATCCTAAGATAGAGATCCTAAGAGATCTCCTCTATCTAGAGATAGAGATCTCTTAGAGATCCTAAGATAAATTCTAGGATGGATCTAATCATTCAATTTAACGAGTCTTGAGCTCTCTCAAATTTTCATAAAAACTCGATTCTAAACACAAACTTATTTTAAGAAACGAAAGGACGTGCGGAGAAGTTGAAGGATTTAGACAAGCTTGTTACAACCGAGAATGAAAAGTATCAAAAACAATACATGGAAAAAATCGCGTACTTGTTTGACAATGCAAAAATGGTTCTAGAAGCAAAGGAAGAGGATAAGGAGGCTGATAAGAGTTTGATAAATCATTTTAAAGAAAAGACTCATCTTCTTGTTGGTCATTGTTTGGTAACTCAATTTATTGCCATGTTCAATGAAGAAGGAAAACCAAAAATTCGAGTGTTTAGTGCAACAGAATCCTTCTTGGCGGAGCATGCCGCTTCGTTAGGGAATGTTTTAGGCAAAAGAATCGTCAATATAGTGTTAGTTAATCTTAATATTTTATCATGGAGATATAGCCTGATCGTTTTTATTATCCTGCCCATTTTAATTTAAACGGGAATATCCCTAAACAAGCTATTTTGTAATTTCGATTTTTGGAGTTATTTTTACGAGATCCCTGGAGTCCCTTCTAGGTCCCTGGAGTCCCTTCTCCCTTCTATGAATGTCTCTATAATTAATTCTGACAACTCTTCATACACGACTTCAATCTATTCATCCCATTGTTTTTATCCCGGGCAAACTTAAACTAATATGGTCCTTATCAGCGAAATTCCCGGTTTTTAGAAATCGTGAATTCCCGAAAATTTTGAATTCCCGTTATTCGGGAATCGTAAATCGGATGGGCGTGATACTAGTTCTATATTATGCTGAAATATTTTATTTTCAGACCTTACATAAATACTTCCAATCAACTCAAATCTAAAATAGAAGAGTTATGCAAACATGTCGGGCATAATGAATCAGAAAATGCCAATGATTTTACTGAAAAATGTCTAAAGTTTGTCGAAGAACTTTTAGAGGAAAGTTTAAGATATTGCTCTATTGAAAGAAAAGATGTGATTTTCGAGCGCCCGGATGAATGGGATTTGATAAAGGGTAAAGTTTAATGAAAAATTTTGGGTGTTTTAGAAATAGAAAGCATCCTTAAATCTACGGAATCACAGCCATGAAGCTCGAGCCTCTTCTTTTGAATGCTAAAATACCGTATTCCTTGTATTATAGCCTCCATCAGAGTTAGAGCCCTTCTCCTTAATAAAGCCCGGTTTCGAAGATTGTTGAAAAATATAGCCCCGTGGGGCTCATGGCACTCTCTCTCACCTAGCAGTTCCATAAACTTTGGGTGCTTATAACTCGGCCACGGTACCCCGCAGTGAAAATGGAATAAATTTCATAAATAAAATAGTGTATGATTTATCTGTCTACCAAATTTCATCCCAGGTCCCATGAGCACCTCAGGCACTCTCCTTTGTGAGTGAGAGAATATTAGTTCTATACAGTATCCTTAAATCCCACTTCACATTTGGTTAACCGCCTATAAATCATATTTTTTTCCAGTGGTAGATCAAGTTGATGAAGAAGGATATAGACTCGCAGATGATAGCTTCATGCTCGTTGATATGAAACAGATGCCGGCTTTGTCATTAGAAAGCAGAGAATGGGCTGAATTATACTCCGGAGCTTGTAAGAAGCTTTAAAAATAAACTGAATTTGTTAAAATATTTAAGTGGATCGCTTCAACGAACACAAGTTCACCCTAACTGAAGCACATTATCTTTTCCATTCCGTTTTGCCATTGATGGATAAAAATGCTAAAGAACTTGGTCATAAAGAACTGTCAGATAAATTGAAGGATTTGAATATAAATCAAGAATTGACTAACGAGATAAAAAAGGTCTGCTAATATATGCAACTGGACTTTTGGATATTTTTTCCATAAGAAATTCCACCCCCCCCCCTCCACCAAGGATATTTTTGTTAACAATTTTAATAAAAATAGGAAAAGGTCTTGGAACTTGGATACGAAAAAAATTTCCTATTTCATGTTCCAATTTCAATTGTCGGAACTACGCTAATTATATCTCTCTTTCTATCATTCTCTTCCTATATATTTTGAATCTCTTCCTATCATTTGATTAGGTTATTCGGGGGTTACTATTCAATTATTATTATCACTAACACCTTTTTCAAAAAATTATTAAAAATTTTAATAAAAATTTTCAGTTGAAAACTCATCCTCAAAATAAGACACTTTCATCCTCCATCAACCAAAAACTTCCAAAGATAGAGGTGGATTATATTCTCCGAAAAAATGTTCAAGATTGTTCTCTCGCAACTTATTTGTTGAAATTTACTCTTCTAAACCTCGATCGTTCTGAGATAACCTTTGAGGAGCAAAAAATGTTCCTCACTATTCTGCAAAGTAAACTCAGAGCTAAACATGGAATGGAGAATCAAATGGAGACGGGAGAGCATTTGACAACTAAAAAGATCGAAAATCTGATGGATGAAAAGGCAACTTTTGTTAAAAATGTGTTTGATAATTTTATGGTTTTTTGTGCTGAGGGGAAAATTCATAAAGGAATCCGTTCAAAAACTGATCTAGTAACGCAGCAGATAAAAGCTCTTGAGCTTCCTTTTAAAAATATTCTCGAATATTTGGGAGGAGGTGAAAACAAAGAAAATAAACTTGTAAAAGAGCTGGCGAAGAAGGAGAAGTCTAACAAAGTTCTCAACTCCTTATATGAAGTTCTCAATTGGAAACTTAATTCCAACTATTTCTTGGGGGAAGCTTACAAAGCAGTGGATCAGTTTGATAGAGAATTGAAATTTTTGTTTGATTTACTGGCAAACAATGAGTTTTTGATTGAAGAGTTTACTCCGATTGAGAAATTAGGTAATATATCTTATTTAAATTCAATGGGATTTTTACATGATACTAAACCAGACTCAAGTAAAGCAGCTGGGCTATAGCTATTTCTCTCCTTTAGCTAGTGCAAAAGGTTATTCGGCGGCTGGGAGCAACCAGCATCTTCAGTAGACCGGACTGATGTGTTAGCCATTACACCACGCCGCCTACTGCTCAGCCTTAGGAAATTAATAGCTATATGCTTTACACTCATCCTCTGGGACTATCTGGGCACATTTATAGTCCATATTTTTAATTAGAGTACGTCGAGTACCGAGTAATTGGGAAAAAACCGAGCTCGAGTAATCCGAGTTTGAAAAACCCGTGTTCGAGCTCGGGCTCAACTCCGAGTTCGAGTAATGTGAGTGTTATGATCCCAAGTTCCGAGTCGAGTAACTCGAACTCGCTCGACTTGGACGTACTCTACTTTTAATTATATAGTGGCGGATCGCATAGTTGATGGGTTTAGTAGTGGTCCCATTAGTGAAAGCCTCAGTTCATTTATTTGTGCGGCCAATACTTTACGTGGTCCATAATTTTTGAGAGGTCAAATGTGTCGAAATGACGAACTCTAACAATGATAATTTTGAAAAATTGTTTCTTACTTAAAATAAAAATATTTATAATTAAGGCAAACATTTGGGAAAAGTCGAAAAATTAGTCGAAGAATCTACGCATGTTTATATTTCCCGAATTATGCAAAAATTAGCATTCAGTGTTAAAAACTGGAAAAAACAACAGAAACAAAAGGATCAGGAACAGTCTAAAAATGAATTAGAATTCCACAATTCGTTAAATAGAAAAGCTGTTTTGAGCATTTTGTATTGTTTGGTTAATCGTTTAAACACCCTTTTCACTGATGAAGGACAGGTCAACATGGAGGCCATGTTGCAAAACGAGACTAATATTAATGTACTCGAATTTGCGTCAAAGTTGAGTAAAGTAATGGGGAGCTATAGATTGAAAAAAACGTAAGTTAATTTGGAAAAATGTTTTAAAAATGTTGTAAGAGATTCCAGCAATCCTAACGAGAAAATACCCCAATTACAAAATCGATCTATCTAAATCTGGAGTAGAAGGAAATGAACTCGACCAGTTAAAGGATTTATTAAATGAGTTTGAGGACATTTTCAGTAAATCTCAATATGATCTGGATCATTTACGGGAGGCGACCATAATATAGTTACCACTACTGAGGAACCAATCACTTCCCCTCCTCGAAAGATGCCATATAAATATAAGGAGGAACTTAAAAAATTCAGCAATCCTAACGAGCAGGAAGAGTGCCTCACTTGTTTTAAAAATTTCAATCATTAATATCTAAATAATCCCTGAATCAACTTGGATATTTGCTTCGTAGATCGGGGTTTGCCGTGATAGAACCATCATGTTAGGGTACGGGTTCTTACTAAAAATTATTGGGAGGCCGAGTGACAAGGAGCTATCATATTTACAGGGCTAGAGGTGTAAGACAAGGATATCTTGGCCTTATATTCTTTCAGAAATATCCGAAATTTTCGGTTCGAAAGGATTTGGATACGGATATCCGAGGATTTCCGACTACTCGCCAAACTTACTCGATAAGGATAATGTAAGGATGATTCACCCAGCAGCATTTAAAACGCTTAGGCGGGGGTTAAACGATCCAAAAAGGAAAAAGAGAAAGCATTAGTAGATGCACCGGTAGCTCAGAGGTAGAGCTCCTGCATATGGTGAGCGAAAGCGCCTAGCAACAACTAGCAGGTGGTCGCAGGTTCGAATCCTGCCCGGTGGCTAAACTTAAGCAAACTCTTTCTGTAATTACACTGACTCCACAACCAATAGTAATTATTAATATTCCCCTAAATATTAGTAAATCATTTAATAATTTTTCAGATATTATGAAGAAATCCATAACGAAATTGAGAAACAGATCCTTAAAGAAATTGAGAAATTTGAAAAAATTGAGGCTGAATTTAAAGGGCAAGAGAAAATTGTAAATGAAGAAATTCAGAAACAAAATATCGAAATTGAGAATATTCAAAAAAATCAAGAGCAAATTAAAAAGCTTGAGAGAAAAATTGAAGAAATTAAGGCACTAAATAAGGATCTTGCGCAACAAGGAGAAATTAAGAATAATACTGAAAGGCTTTACAAACAAATTCCGAAAATTGAGGAACAAACGGATACTGAAAGTAAAGGAATTATTAAGATGAAGAAAAAATTGGGACCTCATAACTTTGAGAAATTAATTGAAGAAAATATGAACAAAATTAAAAATAGTGAACAAAAAATTGAAGAACTTAGGGAACAAATTAGTGAAAGTAGGAAACAAATTGAAGCAATTTCAACAGAAATTGAACCACTTTTGGAAATTTTAAAAGAAAAAGATGAATATTTTTCGAAGAATGAAAATGAAGAGTTGAAGAAGAATTGGAAGATGTACTGCTACATTGAAAAGTATAATACGCAGTTTGAACAGCCCAAAGTGTTGAAGTTGCATTATTGTAAGTCCTATTGTTAAAATACCTCCGCTGTTGGGTAGTGGTTCAAAAAGTTTCAACAAGTCCCAAGCCCCGAGTTAGAGGCTATCAGGGGTTTTCTTGTAAATCCCGAGGCTTTCCACGTCCCGAATAGTAACGCAATCGGGTCTAGTTTTACTTGCAAATCCCAAGGTTGCAACGTACTGACATACTACTACCAACAAGGATATAAATCCTTAACACTCCCCCCATATATCCTTAAAGTAGTATATCCTTAACACTCCTCTTAACACTCCCCCATAATCCTGAACACTCTCCCCAAATAAGAGGAAGCCTTCGTGTTTGATTTCATATACAATAATATACTACTTTATTTAATTTATTTCCAGATGATTCATTGTTACCAGACGGTTTCCATCTTGCTTCACTTGGAATATTAGGGATTGATACGAAAAATGTGCCAGGATTCTTTTCAGTGTCTCAATTCTTGGAAGTGAACGGTAAACATTTAATAAAGTAACCTGAAGAGTTACCCATTTACTTTTATAAATCAACTCAGAATCTCATTCTAGAGAGAGAAGGCCTCGCCGAGGCTCTCGCCAATTGTCATTCCCGGCCTTTGATTGGCCAGTCACGGTCTCTGAATCTCTATTTCCGAAAAATTAATACATTAATAATCCTATCTTAAGCATACATCTATTCAATGCATAAAACGACCTATACGGAGGCACATCATCTTTTGGCAAAATTCTGGAAAGATTATAACAAGCTTGGTGAGGGCGAGAATAAAAATAGTTTGGAGCACTATATTTCGAAATCAAAGCCATTTGGGTTCTTGGAAAAGGCTTTAGCGGAACACAAAAGGAAAGTGAAGAACCATGTAAAGGAGATTGAGGATCACCACAAAAATAAAGTAGGGGAGCATGTAAAGGGGATTGAGGATCACCATAAAAAGAATACAAACCAAGAACAAGAAAAACATAGAAAGAACAAGGAAGATAAAGCGGAACCTTCTGAGAGAAAAGAGGAAGTGGATAATGAGACAACTCCATTGCTTGGTAAAGAACATGACAATCAAGTTTCTGAGGTGGAAGAGATATTGGGACAGGAAAATGCTTCTTTGGCTGGTAAAGGACATGGCGAGGTCTCTACCCATGGAAAGGGTGAAATAGCAGAAGGAATCACGAAAGAAATAGAAAATTTGGACAAACATGTGAAGGATCTACGTGAAAAGAATGTAGAGGTTCGCAAATACATATCTAACCATTCATACTTTTACACATTTCCAGGTCAATCCGGACAAGAAAGTGTTTGTATACAAGACTTATATTCACCGAAAATATTCGCTTGATATGTGCCGTCAAAGTGTATGGACATTGGATTATGTTATCCATACCTTAGAAACTAGCATTGGAAAAGATATAAATGATTTATTCAAATCGGTCAACGATAAAAAATTTATAGCAAAGTTGTATCAAAAGATGGAACAAAATTGTAAATGTATTGAAGACATTAGAAAAACTTTGATAGATGAGGAGCATGATAATAGGTACTATTCAAATATTTACCTATTAAATTACTCTTATTAAATTCTTTAAGGGATAGGAATATTTCGAACAAGATTCTAATCTTCCGGGTTTCTCTATTAATCTAGATTAAACTATAAAAGCTTTATCATATCATGACTTCAATCGAAACTCGAAAACTAGTAATGTAAAGCATATAGCTATTAATTTCCTAAGGCTATGCAGTAGGCGGCGTGGTGTAATGGCTAACACACCAGTCCGGTCTACTGAAGATGCTGGTTCGCTCCCAGCCGTTGAATAAACATTTGCACTAGCTAAAGGAGAGAAATAGCTATAGCCCAGCTGCTTTACTGTAATAGGGTCGGAATTACGGTCGGAACTGTAGTCTAATGGTGTTAGTAGAGTATACAAGTCAGCGTCAGTTTAATCTGAGATACTACCGAGGCTAGCCACTGATCTTCTTCGTCTGTTCAACCCTAATCAGCCACTCCGTATCCACCCATTCCACACTTATCGTGATTAATTCAGTAACATATAAGATAAAGTCATAGATGATTTATAAACCTCAGATCCTTGCCTATTAATGACAAATTTTCATCTTAGCAAAAACTAATTAATTTCAGACCAAAAAAATCATCAAACAAAGTACATGCCGGACATATAACCAATGTTATGTCACTTAGTGAAGGATATGGGGAATTTGCCACAGATTTCAGATATGTCGTTTTAGAAGAATTGAACAAAAACAATGTAAAAACTAAGCATTTAAAAGAGTTATTGAAAAAGTCATTGAAAAAGTCAGAAGAAGCGATAAAAATGCTGGATGGCATAATTATGTTCTACGATAAAGCGGAGAATGTGTTGAATGAAGATTTTAATGATGCATTTTTGGATAAAACGAAAAAGGAGTTTGACAGTTTATTAACGACTAAATTGGATAATCTTGTGTTAAATTGGGAAGCAATTTTGGATGAAAATTTGAAGGAGGTGAGATATGATAAATGGGTCAAAAATATTTTTAAAATATTCTAACTTGTATAATTTTCCTGAAACGTGGAAATTTATTGTCTGTGGGATCATTATCAGGAATATCGGGGAATCTGTCAATGCAGATTTTCGAATCCCAAGCTTCCACAACCTTATCATCATACAAGACGATGATGTGTTTCCCCTATTCATTCATATTCCTTCCATGGCACGGTCACTACAATACTTATGATCAAATCAGAATTAATTCCCCTTATTTATTATGTCACGTTCTTGAACAAAAAATACAATAAGAGTAAAACAAAATGAGAAAGATCAGATTCCTGATCGCGTTGGTATGGCTGATTTAGTCTGGCCCTATCTAGGCCTATAAAGAAGATAAGGCTGACTTGTATTCTTTTTGTAAGTATACTTGTACAACATCTTGTACCCCAAAAATCACCAAAATTTGAGTTTAAATAAGCTAACTCGCTTGATTTTAAATCACATCTTGGAAAATTTTCTAGAAAGTACATTCCTATTAATATGTAGGTTGATGAGAAACACGCTCAGGAAGCAACTGTTGTCCATGATATCGGCAGTTCTTCTCATACGTCTGAACATGACATACATGAGCACGCTTCTGCCCATGCACATGCTCATTTACAACCAAAACCTTCATTTGATAAGGAAGGATTAAAACAAATATTTACTGGATTGGGCAAATATTTTGTGAACTTCTGCTTCGCTCAACGCTTCCTCCAAACGTTTAATGAACAAGGAACTGTCAAGATGAGCTCCTTCATCAAAGATGATGCTGAAAAGGAATATGGGCTAAAGCTGTACGATATGATGGATCGCGAGATTTTGAAAACTGGGTAAGTGATAACTTTTTCACTTAAAGTGTTGGGTAGTTAGCACTTTATGGTTAAATTCGTTTAATTATACTATGCTCAAATAATTGCCTATATCCCTTATACAATTCCTCACTCTCAAAGAATTATCTATAGAGGATTCCGTAAACACAAAAGCAGTACTGCACCACAAGACCGAAAAAATATAAGAACCCTCTTTGGTAGGGTTGGGGGCCCGATCCGGCCCGATCCGAAAGATCAAGTCGAACCTCGAATTTTGGCCCGAAAATGACTTGCTCGGACCGGCCCGAAAAATATGAGGCCCGAAAAGAATAACTCGAACGTCGGCCCGACTCGAAAACCCCAACCCTATTCTTGGGGAAAAACGTGTTACCTCTTAGGTTCACGCCTTAAGTGTTATCATTAGCTATTCTATTCCCATACAATAATTTCAATATACGTTTAGATTCTACCGGACGATAAAAAATGAAATTGAAAACTTTCTGAAGCCGAAATGCAATTCTCTTGGAACTTCAAAGAAAGTAACGGAGTGCAATGCATTCCTAAAGGATATGCTACTGAAATGGCATGGATATTGTTCGATGGATACTGACAACATGGAATATGAGCGTTTTGAAGAGCTTGAATTGATCAACTGATTTTTTAAAGAGAGGGGAGTTGTTTGGTTTGAAATTTTGGAAGCAACGAATTTTTTAAATTTGTAAATATTTTTTAAGAAATTTTTTTAAAAGAAGACACCAAAGTTCCAAATTTTAAAAATTCATTTTTACCCGGTTTTTTAAGGTTTATTTTTACCCGTTTTTAAATTTATTTTAATCATAACCCTTTTTTTAAGTTTATTTTTTAATCCGTTTTTTAAATTTATTTTTTTTTCGTTGTTTCAAACGATAAGATAAGCATGAAAACTTTACATATATTAAATTGATTTTCTTTTCTAGAGCAAAAGAAATCAAAAAAACTTGTATTGCTAAGGCATGGGTAAGACATAATAAACGATAGATCCCTCGGTAGTAATTTCTGACATAAATCTTTTTTCAGTATAACCATTACAATTATGATAAGATTTAAAAATAGTGCCCTTCGGTATCTAACTTTCCTTGTAGAGTTACTGTTCTTTCTTATGCCTGAGCAATTCAGTCATGAACAGAGCTGCGTCGTAATAAAAATATCTTTGAAATTCGGAAATCGAAAGAAATCCAAAAATATCGAAATCGAAATTTCGACGCAGCTCTGGTCATGAAATGTAAGGACCTCTTATGGTCACAGTCTTTCTAAATCCCACAGTTAAGTAACACAACTAAGTTTTGATCTTTATGCTTATCTTATCGCTTTTCAGGTAGTATAACCTCGCGACTAACCCCAATTTACCCCTATTATTTAAATTATCCAATTTAAAACTCTTGTATTTATTATTTAAAACTCTTTAAAAACCATTGTAGTTTTTAACATTTATTTTTGATAAAAATTTTAATTTTTGGAAATTTATTGTCAAACAAGTTTTATTCAAAATTTAATCTAAATAGAAACGAAAATTGCTCAAAAAAGGATATAGGACAAGCTATCAACGCGGTAGCTCGATGGAATATAATAGAGCTATCCGAAACTTAAAATTTTCCCCGACTCTATACAAAGACTTCAGCCAAAGACCAAGACCGAAAAAGCCCCAAGAAAAGT